CAAAATTGGCAATTCAGCAGTTTACACTTACCTAGGTTTACAGTGAGCAAAAACCATTGGTGATTTAGCACAGGATTAAATTAGCTCTGAAGCACTATAAATTGTATCAGCAGGAATACTTCCTCATAAAATGTGTCTCTGATGACTAAAATCCTGGTATTATAACCGAGAACAGGGACAAAGAGGAAAGGCTCAGCGTTAAAACAATTTATTGAACTTGACAATTAATTAGACATTTTGGGAAATCCTACATAAACACTACATCAACATCGGAACCATGACATGCTTAAACATGCACATTAAGCTCAATTATTTGGCATACAAAAACATCTGACAGATGTGCAATCAAATATTTCGGTTAAAAATAATTAGAAAAATGTCTAGCTATAAAACAGGGACTGTTACATGTCCTCTAAAATTGGAAATCCCTGCAGCTGCAATTTAGGCCTGGCACATACAATATGGCATACAAGTCAACCATACAGAATCCAACTCACAGATATAGTAAACAAAAGGCCCAATGGGCCTGCATTGCTCACCTGCTCAAAAATCATTACCTATGACACAAAAGAACCTGTTGAAAGATTTTAACGCATTTTACCTTTGTAACATTGAAAATTTATGAAAATTATTCATTTCAAAACCTGGACGGCCTTTCATCTCAACATGCTAATGGCCAAATATCATCACCCTAGGACCTTTGAGTATTCAGAAGAAATCACTTAAAGGTTTTCAACACATTTGACCTGTGACCTTGGTATATAATGAATTTCAATACACATGATAGCCCTTTATCCCAGCAAGCTACCAGCCAAAAATGTCATCACCCTAGGTATTTAGGTTATTCAGATTAAGTTAAATATATACGTTGCCTTACAAGTTTTCCACACATTTGACCCATGTAATATGGAATTTAAGGACGTCATTCATTTGAACAAACTTGGTAGATCTTTATTTGAGCAGGTGAGCTCAAAATCAGAGGTCATGGCAGCCATATGAAACTGAGACTTAAAATATTTGGGAATTGCACTTGAAGAAATGGCCCTGCTATGTGGCTGACCATAAATTTTCTCATGATTGCAAAGCAGAAATTGTAACAATCATCTTGGATTTCAGAATATGTCAGTAATAAGGTGAAATACACATAACTAATATAAAGCTCAAAAGGCCTCAGCCAATCAAGAGACACCATAGCAGCCGCCTTTGATTATGGGATCTAAATAGTATGAAGTATACAGTATATCCTTATTCACCCTGAAGTCAGATTATAAACTTAGTACCAAGCATCACCAAGTATGTATAAAATCATAGTTACCAAATAAACGTTATACCCATGAATGTCTCAGCCAGTCAGAACTTTTGGTGCTAAGTTACATTATTATCTGCTATAAGATGCAAAGTGCTTATAACATCCGTATCAACAATTATTTTCAACCGAAGACATTTCATAGATTTGCTACGTGTCTGATGCATCCTATTTTGTAAGCAAGAAAAGTACATGGCAAAATGTGCTGGTCTATTGTCAGTCTATACTTAACCCTTTCACCCCTATGTAACTTTAGTAGACTCTACCATGCATTGATATGGATGAGTCCATTATGGTTTACAGTGGTGAAAGGGTTAAACGTAAGTTTTTATTAGGTTAATAATGTTTTATGCTTAGGTACAGTCGAGAAATATATGGAAATGCATCTGAGTAACCTCAAACTCAATATTGTCAGACAGTATTGGATGTACTGTACCATGTTATGTAATATTCATTTTTTGTCAATAAACTCACACCAATATTTTGTCTGCAAATATTGAAAGAAGTAATATATATGCTTTAATAAACCATATTACTGGTTCTAAGTTGAAGTAACGGGGCAATGCTCTCGTTAATCATTGTGCTGTTAGGATCTGTACACGCACACAGATACAGGGATGACACACAGAGACACGAGGAAGATTGATTTGAGACACAAAAACATATTGTAAACTTTTCTGTCAGTTATCTGGTGTCTCCATACTCACAAATTATTATTTATATTCTACTTTTTGCCACCTGATACAGACAGTAAAATAGTCCATTCCATTATAATTAATTTTTATGGTAGCAGATCAATTTACTCACTGAACAATACACAAGATTAGTTTGAATCACAATGGATGGAAACTTACAGTCTCTTTAATCCAATTTAAACCAATTTTGGTGACATTAAACTTAAGCCCCCTAAAACTTGGATATTGAGATCAGTTTACCAACCCCTACTTTTGTTTATTCTGTTTGAAGTACTACTCTTTATTCCATAACATGTAACCCATCATTTCTACTGGATGAGATGTTCAACTTCGACTCAACTTTGATCTTTGACCCCAAATTACTACTAGTCACCTCAGTAGAATGAGAATTCAGATCATAAGGAAACAGCTGAAATATGATTGATATTTAACTGTCATATTTATAAGTAGACACAACAACAAAAAACACTTTAATTGTCAAATATAGGAAAGACACTTGGTTTACCATCTTTCTTCTCTAAATTTGAGAATGAAGGAACTTGAGTTAGAAATGAAGATCATCATCTGCCATTTGCTGTGTAACTTCTATACTTTAAAATAATTATTTAATATATTCAATGTCAGAATTTTCAATTTTAAATGGAAAATCAGTTTTTAAAAGTGAAAATTAGCTTTTTGTTTGTACTAATAATGCAACACTACTTTAAATTTGAACAGAAAAATATATTTTCTACTGTAGTGGCTGGTTAGGCTACTCCGAAGCTGAGAAGTAGCTAGGGACATCCCCTCAGTAAAACACTGTAATCTTAGGTTTGAAAAGAGTGGGGTCTCTTGTCTTGTATGTGCTGTAGCTATGACAGAAATCAAACCCATTGTGAGGTTGCAGCTTTAATCTGATATTTTTCGCAGTGCCTTTCCTATTTCTATTTCTTGTGAATAAAACAAAAATGTCCACATATCGTATGTTGCCGTTATGAAATTTACAAATACATCAATAGAAGTCCTTGGGTTATTGTATTTGGGTATTTCAATCTACGATACATTGTGTACCTGATGGGTGATAAAGTTACTGACGTTCTCGGTTAATGAGCTCCTCAGGGTGTCACAACATAACCCAGAAAAAAAGGTTCACGACGATATAGCAATATAAGACGTAATCTTATGATTCAAAGAGCTCATTCTCTCATTGGTATTATTTCCCAAAGCAATCGTAAAAATATTTTGCTTACCAAAAATTAATTTTAAGGATTCTCCTGAAAGTTATCACTTAGCTATATCTATACATTCAAGAATCGTTTAAAGATCTTCCCCATGTCTTCCTTCTACCGTTTCAAAAGGAAGTGCCGACATTTTAGTTTGTCCTTGCTTGGTAACAAGAATGGGTCTCGCTGGGTATAAAAAGCGCATTACCCGTCAAACCGGTCATCATTTGTTCAATATGTGCACAAGATGAAACTACTTTACTATATATATAGAACACTTTCATGCACGTTTTATTACCAACATTTTGTATCAGATCAGTTGAATAAAATTGAAATAGAACACATCAAAGATATCATTCATCTAAGAAAAGTAGAATAGTAGTAAAATACGACTAATTAAAATATCGAATGCACAGTCCCCCCCCCCCCCAAAAAAAAAACGGCCCTGAAAGAAGCAAACATAAGAGATACACTAATGTTCACCTTTTAGATATCCAAATAGTGATAACCTCCTTCCTGTGTGAAAACAGGAAGTCATGTCTAATTCCAATCATTTTCATGAGAACAGTTCTATTATCAAACTTCACATTGTTGACTACACACCTGGGAGTGTAGCATTTTGCATGTGTTTTGCTAGACTACAAGGTCATAGTAAAGTTTTTGTGTGTTGGTGCAATTCTATGCACGTGAAAGACCGATGTTATATATGGGATTTATGTAATATACCTTTTATTTTGGATACACAATTTTCATGAATGTGCCATAAGTAACAACCAGCTTGGCACTGTTTCAATGTACTCAGGTGAGTCGTTAGATTTTTTATATCGGTTGGCCAATAAGGGTGTGCGGTGCATTGAATCGCAAGACGGTCAGTCGTAGAATGATAACCTGTTTGACCGGTAATTCGCTTTTTATAACCAGCGAGATCTGTACTCGTTACCAAGCAAGGAAGAAACTAAAATGTCGGCACTTCCTTAGAAACGATAGTCAGAAGATATCTCAATTGAAAGCTTTTTAACATGCACTGTCAGCTTTAAGGCACAGATTTCTTCGTTTCTATTAAAGATCCTCACACCACTGACAAAAAGTGTATCTGAGCATTGGAAACTTATTTTTCTGGCCTAAGTACAGCTTTGATAAATCATTTTTGAAAGAAAACCAGACCATACTGAACTTTTATGAACAAATATTTGAAATAAATAAAATATAACAGCAGTGTTCTAAACAAAATCAGCGGAGTTAGACCGGGAATCGAACCCTGGACTTCAAGTTGATATACCTAATCACCTGAACTACCTGGTCAACAGAAGTATCCTGGCCACACTGTGCTACAGTTGTACTCAAACGGAAGTTAAGGGGAGGCTCAAATACAGTACAGAGAAACAGGCGTCCTAAAACGTGCCCCAATATTCCAATATGCTACTTTTTGGCTTCTGACATATATGGGCATCAAGGATATAAGCTGCTTTGACACAAGAAAAATCTTACCAGCAATTACAGTTATGATATAACAGTACATTACACAGCATCACCTCATCTACTGCTGAGGTCAAAGTCTCATGTGTAACATAGTATGCTGACCATGCAGGTCTAAATGTTTTAATATTTCTTGCTGATTGAAGACATTTCAATAACGTTTAATGGTAGGTCACTCAGCAATAACTTACTGTACAATATAATGATATTAAGTCTATTGTCCTCTACCCCTGTGACCAAGTCTACTTACTAAATACATAACTAGTAGGCTCCTATATAACTGAAGGCCATAGAACACTATGGTCTACAACGACACCTCAATCAGGTCCCTATCGGTACGTATACAATGTCATCACCAAGTTTAGCCAGTACTAGAATTATAGGTAGGAGTCTGAATGGAAATCTTACAATCAATGGAGGGGTATTGTTACATATAAGACCATTTTATTAGGTGAGTTTGGATGGGTTTTATTTCAGACCTGGGACTACTTCTGACATCTGTAACCAGGTTTTGTCTGGTTGAAGATCCTGGGCATGACATATGGCCTTCAAACGTCCTCATATTTTGAAGATACACATGTAGCCTTGTTTATACCTTTTGAAAATCACTATTGCCTTCTCAACATATAGACATAAATCAATTACAAGCATTCACATGACAAATGTTACCTACATTAGTCTTTGCAGCTCTTCAATTGACTCAATGAATATAACAATGACACAGAGGTCAAAGAAAAAGTACAAATAAATTTCAACCAGATGAACTGTAGGAAAGAAAGTTATCTTATTATAAAACAATTGTCATAAAGTCAGACATTCTACACTGAAGGGACCGGGCTTATTGTTGTGTATGGGCTTGTTAGAGATAAAATACTACAGAGTGATTGGTAGACTTACCCCGATCCAGCTTGGGAGGCGGTCGGTACTTGAATCCTGTCTGGCTCCAGTAGGCTGGTATGGACCCTCTTACTTGTACAAAGGAAACTGTGTGGCGGGAAAACTCCAAAATCTGAAGAGAGACACAATCCATATCTTTACACATATACAAACAATCCACATATATCTATACATGTATACAAACAATCTACATCTATACACATATACAAACAATCCACATATATACACATACACAAACAATCCACATATATACACATATACAAACAATCCACATATATCTATACATGTATACAAACAATCTACATCTATACACATATACAAACAATCCACATATATCTATACATGTATACAACCAATCTACATCTATACACATATACAAACAATCCACATATATACACATACCCAAACAATCCAAATCTACACACATACACAAGCAATCCACATATATACACATACACAAACAAACCAAATCTACACACATACACAAACAATCCACATCTATACCCATACACAAACAATCCACATTCACAAACAAACCACATCTATACACATACACAAACAATCGACATTCACAAACAATCCACATCTATACAAATACACAAACAATCCACATCTATACAAATAAAGAAACAATCCACATCTATACACATACCAATCCACATCTATAAACAAACACAAACAATCCACATATATACACATATACAAACAATCCACATATATCTATACATGTATACAAACAATCTACATCTATACTCATATACAAACAATCCACATATATACACATACCCAAACAATCCAAATCTACACACATACACAACCAATCCACATCTATACACATACACACACAATCCACATACACAAACAATCCACATCTATACAAATACACAAACAATCCACATCTATACCCATACACAAACAATCCACATCTATACCCATACACAAACAATCCACATTCACAAACAAACCACATCTATACACATACACAAACAATCCACATCTATACACATACCAATCCACATCTATAAACATACACAAACAATCCACATATATACACATACACAAACAATCCACATCTATACACATACACAAACAATCCCAACTATACACATACACAAACAATCCACATTCACAAACAATCCACATACACAAACAATCCACATCTATACAAATAAACAAACAATCCACATCTATACACATACACAAACAATCCACATCTATACACATACACAAACAATCCCAACTATACACATACACAAACAATCCACATATATCCACATATACAAACAATCCACATCTATACACATACACACACAATCCACATTCGCAAACAATCCACATCTATACACATACACAAACAATCCACATATATACACATATACAAACAATCCACATCTATACACATACACACACAATCCACATTCGCAAACAATCCACATCTATACACATACACAAACAATCCACATCTATACACATCCACAAACAATCCCAACTATACACATACACAAACAATCCCAACTATACACATACACAAACAATCCACATTCACAAACAATCCACATACACAAACAATCCACATCTATACACACATAGAAACAATCCACCAATATGCTGAAGAGAATAAAATACCTGGTATGCTACTTTTTACTGATTTTTAGAAGCTTTTGATTCAGTTAGTTGGTATTTTATTGATAAGGTACTTGAATTTTTTAATTTTGGAAATGATATAAGAAGTTTGAACAAATTTTTTCACAAAAGCCCAAAGTCATCTATTCACTAAGGGAGGAATCTATCACCATTTTTTAAAATTAAATGTGGATGTTGTCAAGGTGACCCTATTGCTCCGTATTTATTTATTTATTTCCTGATCAGAAATACTAGGGGCCTGTTCGTTTATGCGGAACAACCGGTTTGACCGTTTCTAAATGTAACAATTTCGGGTAAAAATCCTGGCGGACCTGCAAATGTGTATGCAGGCCTTACAAGGCTTTCTCAAGGCTCACATGAAAGCAGCATCAGATTACTAGGTCCGACCTTATTTAATAAACGAACAACAGTGGTCCGATCGGTTTGACCGTTTAAACGAAAACGGCCTAGGTATCAGAATTAGAAATAACAATAGAATTAAAGGAATAAATATAGAAAACATGCCAACAATATTATCTCAATAAGCTGATGATACTTCAACCATTCTTGATGGATCTAAAAACTCTTTCAGGGAAACATTAAGGGAATTAGACACAATAACTAAAACTCAAGTAATTTGGATAGGAAGCAAAAAATACAGTGAACATACATTTCGGCACTCACTGCTAGCATTCAACAATTCTAGCACTGCCCAACCACGTACTCATTTACAGCTGAGAAGACTGGAACAAGCGAAGTAAAGCATCTTGCTCAAAGATACAACACAGTGCCTTGACGTGACTCGAACCCGAAAACCATTCAGTCACGAGCCCTGCGTCCTACCACTAGACTGCCGTGCCTCCTATTATGATATTAATTTAAAAACTACTTTCCTTACCTTCTAAGGAATAGGAAGAGCAGAAAGGAAATATCTGAGGCATAAGGAAATAGTTAATGATATTGTAAGTTATCCTTTTATTCGACTTAATCTTGAAATTTTCTTTAAAAATATAAAAGGGTCAAAGGACTTCTATAAAATGCTCTGCTAACATTTTCACCCTATACCGGTAAACTCCATTTTCGCCCTATACCAGTAAACTCCATTTTCACCCAGTGTTAACTTCGCCCTTCACATTGATTACTATGTTTAATATATTGCTTATAGCTGTTCTCTGTAATGATAAACTCACTCTCATTACAGAGTACGATAAAACTGCAGGGAAAATTTTCCGGTATACAGTATGTCCATGGATTATGATCAATGGCTTATAAAAAATTAACTGTCTGACTCAGATTGAAGACTGCTCCATTTACCAGGTATTAAATATGCCCCGGTTATAATGGCCTTTAGCTTTCTGTAGTAAAGGTTAATGCAGTTTATCAATATATATGAAATATGCATATTAATTCTAAGATTGCAAACACACAATCTGACTACTGCTGTGTATTTGTAGAAATTCTATGTCAAATGATCTGTACCTAAGCTGGTTTCTGTATTTTAACTCAGAGCTGTTTTAAAAGGCCTGCTTCCATTTCAGTCCACTGGTTAAACCCTTTGAACATTGCTTGAGAGGAAAAACATTTTCACAAAGAAAGGGGAAGACCTTTGAAGTTTTCATGCATAACTTCTCTGACTTTGAACCTGGAAAAATGTAATTTATTGTAGCAAATCTTATAACCTACATTTCTACAAGCTATCGGCCAAACGTCATAGCTGTAGGCCTCATGGTTTATTAGAAGTATTAAGTTGAAGTTTTTTACAGATATGAACTTAAATGTGGGTAAAAGTTATTCTATTAAAATATAACTACAATGTACTGTCACTCTACCACACCAAGCTTAAACATCTTATGGTTTCACTACAGGAAGTTACTTCACGATTTCAACACATTTGACCTCTATAACCTCAAATATGGATCAAGGTAATTTATTAGAACACATATTATAACCCTATTGCCAGCAAGCTGCAGGCGAAATATCATGCCACAAGACCTAATAATTATGTAGAAGAAATTTCAAGAAACATTGTCTATTTGACATGTGACATTGAAAGTGGGTCAAAGTCACACATGCCTGATAGAACATGACTCTTTGCATTCCAGTTCTGTAGGGTTTTTTTTCGAACTTATCACCCCATTTGACCTCTGTGACCTTTTAAGTGCATTAAAGGAATTCATTTGAATAATTATACCATTAATAGAGAATACCACATCAAGCTCACAGGACAAATAACACTACGATTCCTGGTTCAGTCAAAGAAGTTGTTGAAGGATTTTATCATATTTCCCCCTCATGACCTCGATCAAGGTCATTTGGTTTCAATATCGAAGTTTTACTTCATATACGAACAATATACATATCAAACATGTCACAACGCTTCAAGACCGACTGATCCCTTTGTCAAGGCCTTTGATAGCTATCCAGAGCTTGAAGTTTATAAAAAAATCTTTTTTGTCAAAGAAGATGACTTTCAAGTAAGTTTGTTAAACCTTCCCTTTTCTTAAATCTGATGTCTGTAGGGTCGTTTAAAAAATGAACCAAAAGTAAGACAACTGTGAAATAAACCACTACCAACAAGAATTAAAAAAATCTGAAAAACTCTGAGATAAATTGTGTTCTTTAAGATGGGGAGATACCTACATAATGCAATCGATTGCTTGGATGGAAGAGCTTCTCTGTGAAGAAGTCGTACAGGACCATCCGATTAATCTCTCCAGGAAATGGACAGGGTGTTTAATTGTAGCTAGAGGCCTTTAAATCTGTCCCTAACCCATCATATTGGATCTATAGGTCAATCTGATGACGGCCTCTCTCATTTCAAGGAGGCTAAGTGGCCAAGCATTCTCAGCAACGAATACAAGGTCATACACGAATACAAGGTCATACACGTGTCAGACCTTATGATGTTTGTCACATGATTATGTACAAACCTACAGGATTACATTTTCCTATATCACAACACAGGGACTTGGAAACCAGAGGAAGGTGAGCACAGGGACCTTAGTCACCTAAACATGCTGACCTCAAGGAGTAGGAAACAAGAAAGCGAGGATTTTTGGTGGTTTCCTTCTGTATACCATATATATTTCATGAATAAGACAGAATACACATTGCATGAGTGAAAAATATTGGTATAACTGCCACACAAGTGAAAATAAGATGGTATTCAATGGAAAAGCGTTTAAATGTTTTATTTATTACATTTTTAAAGTACAATGGTGAAAATAGTACTGCATCAAAATATGTGGGAATCATAAGTTAATGCTGCCATATTGTAATGACATCATGATTGACAACAAGTCTGGGCACCATTTTGAATTGGATACAAGAAGCACATTTAGTAGTTTAGTAAATATCATTGCAAAGGTAGCAAAGAATGAAAGACGTACTAAAACAACCGTTTGTTCTACTGTCTCTTCATCTGCTTCGGAACAAAAACTATTTGGCTTTGATTGCAGTGAATTTTAAAAAGTACTGTTAAGATTGGTC